ACAGCCTCAGCATGCGCCCCTTTGTCGAGGACGCCAAGGTCAGCATATTCGGTCTCCTTCTTGATCCGTGACCGGAATGCCACGATATAGAACGACGTTTCATTGAAGGGTTTTCCAGACTCGACCGCAAGACGTTTTACTTCTTCGATCACCTCTGGCCAGTTGAAGGATTCTGTGTATGGGGCTGTCGCATAGTCGTCGCGAAGAACTCGAAACTGTCTCAAGGCTCGTGCGAGGAGCTCATTTTCGTTATCAAGAGTGTCGAGGTCAAGCAAATGCTCTTGTTCAGTGTATGGCGATTGTACAAGATACCGGTGGTTGGCTGCGAGTTCCGGGCTGACTTCTCTCACTTCGACTTCGGCGGCTATTTTGTGTAATTCATCGAATGTCGCTCCAGGAGCTGTTTGCACATCTGCAGTTGCCATTGTGGGTTATTTGGGTTTTGCTGTGTGGTTGATTATCGAGTATGCAGTCAAGACAGAGTGAAATGTTTTGGGTATCTCGACACACAATGGCAGAAGATGGAAGGGGGATATAAGGAACTACGAGTCAGGGCGCGGCGACAGCGACAGCGAGCCATCTGCAATTTATAGCACACGAAACATCTTTACAACCTCTTAGGCAATCAAGCCTTGAATAACGTGCTCAAATGACACCATCCAAGCCGGACGACGACAGTTACACATGTGGGTCGGTGAAGACTGTCAAAGGGTCTTTCTGCCGGTAGTTCTGGAAGTTACTTGCTTGTTAGTGCGGATGGTCGGACGTCTCGAAAAATGGCACTCCTCGACCTAGACCGGTCAAGACTTGTTGTCCGAGTCAGGTAGGCGTTCTATTTGAAAATCGGAGAATTTTGCAACTCGTTTTTTGCTGGAATACGAGCGGCTTCACAAAAAGACCAAGTACACCGGAATTCTCGTTGTCTCTGAGAGATCCGGAATCTCGCATATCAGAGACATGTATCTATGGCGACTTCTCACCAAACCATGATGAAATACCGGGATCGGCTCTACAAGTAATAAGGGAAATCCTTCCAAGCCAAGGCTTCACCGCCAGAAGAATGCTTCGTCAACCATTTCACCGGTTTCGGGCATCCTTGGAAGGACAAGGCGGAGAGTCGGAACAGAGAAGGAATTACACTTTTATGCAACCAGGGGTCCTTGACAAAATAGCTGTGAGACTAACGCAGGCCAAACTGCAATGACATGTGCCTGCGGTTGGCGCTAAAAAATGGCCGACGGTACGACCCAACCGACCGACCATCTTGAATTACAACTACACCATACGGATACAATACTACATATTCGAAGTCAGTCGAACACTTGAAGAGAATTACTCTTTGTTGGCACTTACTTGTCAGATGATCGATTTACACACTGCAGCCAAGAAGTAGGTCTTAAACTGTGAGTCAAAAGTTTACTCTTAAAGTTCTGAAAAGCTTCGTTCACAGACATTTTTTGAAGCAGTATAATTGGAGGACATGATCTTCATTCTCATCATGCCCCTCTAATCATAGTCTAACCCTGTAGAAAACATAACCTAGCATTGTCGAATGAATTCTCTGGATTACGAGTCTCTCTCGGATTGTCGCACATAACTCTCCGAAGGCGTCAGAAGCCATGAGGATGTCGACATCAGATCTACGATCGTGTTCGTTGATCATGGTGTGAGTTCATAATTATTGCAATTGTGTGATACAATACTTTGTTGTCTTTATATCAATCAATTGATATAGAATTCGCTAGAAAATATGGTTGGGTGTGTAATTGGTCTACCACAACTTATATATCATAACCATCACAATGGACCATCGTCCTCCACATCTGTCTTTCCCCTTCTCAACCAAACTTTGGCCATCTCATACGACCCCAGATAGAGTCCACTCCCTAGCATCGTCCATCCGGATCGCAGAGCCGCACCCCGGAAGAATCCCCGCACTCCCCTCTCTTGGTAAACCTCCTTCGAGACAGCCCACGCCCCCTTCTTTGGTTGCTTTCCCTTCATCTTGGCTGCGACTTCGTTTTGCCCCTGTGCCGAATTCTTGTTCTGATTTCCGGCACTCAGCATCATCCTCGTCTTGACGACATCACTTGGTGTTGTTATGAAAGCCGCTATCGATCCCGCACTTCCGGCACTTAAACCGGTAGCGAGCCCCGTCTCGATCAGCCCCGGCTCCGAAGAACCGGAGCCTCGCGATTTCCAATACGTTGCTCGCACATGCTCAAATATAGGAAATTGAAGAGCTGTGAATGGTAAATTCCGTGCGACGAGTGCTGTGTAGCCTGTAAAAAGACGGCGTGATACTCCATCACCGGCCAGCTGACGGAATGCTTGTAATGAGGTTGAAGATCCAGATTGCGCGGCCCCACGACTATCATTTTGCAACATCTGAGCATTTTGCTTAATAACCTCTGCTGGTGCGAGTACTAAGCAAGATGCCATCTCTGCCACCCCTGAGGCTGCTGAGTGAACCAGAGGTTGTGGTAATGGCGTCGCATTGCCGATGACTCGTTTGGCGCTCTCATATGTCGAGAAGAATAGACCCGCTGTGAATTGTGTAAGCCAGCAATTCCTCACATTCAGACTTGTATTACATACCTGCTGGAAGAGTAGCTAAAACTACACTTCCAATGCCCTGGTAGAGTCCTCGTACAGCCCATATGTTCTTTTTCGAGTTGTCGGAATATGTCTTGAGGTAGTCTTGACTCTGCAAACGAGTCTTGATAGTATCGAGAGGGTAGACCAGGACGTCTACTGTAAATGCAGCAATAGCACCAGCCTATGACTTTGTGAGTATATCATGGCCATACCCTGGAATGTTTGGCCAGTCTTACAATATATATGTCCGACATTTTTTTTTCTCAGACGCCTGCTGCATAGATCGTGATGATGAGTTTCTTCCAAGTTGGTCGTGAAATATGGGCTCTCTTACACCATGAGCTGGTGATGTCATGGTTGTGTGCTTATATCCACTATCGGATTACCCTGCACTTCAACTCATCATGGAAACATCTCGGGCTCACGGCATGTGAAAAGACATAAAATAGTATTGAATGAGCACATAACCACAGTTTAATATCATACCTGGTGAATTCTTTGTCATGGCTCATAAGTAATTTGATTCATCAGAAGAACAACTACAGATTGATTCCAACATCTCACTCATTTCTGGTGGACTCAAGTCAGATAATACAAATCAGAACTGCTTTTGGAATTAAGATTGTATGTATATGATCCCATCTCTTGACGCCAGCCCATATACAACCCCATGATTCAAGCAAGCCGGCGCTTCCCCTGCCGTCTATGTGACTTAATGACTCCAAAACGTCCAAGATAATAAATCACCAAAATGCTTGCGTTCCCGTCTTTATAAGATGTCCTCTGCTCTATCATAAAATCGCGCCGTAAATCGAATGACAAAGGAAATCATAGCTTGCTCTTTACAGCGGGAGTCGTCTCGTTAACTACTGCCACCACGACACAAATATCGTCAACTTTGCCGCCGTGCCAGTTTTCTTGGGGGTAGTATTTGTGGACCTCCTTGGCGAATGGTCCATCAAGTTTTGTGTTGACGCTGGCTCGCTTGGCGGCTGTCACGATTTCTGTAGCGAGTGCGCTCTGGAGTGTTACTGTTCGTTTGCCTTCAGAGGCTTCAGGGAACTCAACCAGAGGCTCTAGCGAATCTGCAACGCGCACACCGCCGGCGTCGGTCATTACCCAGGCGCCTGTAGATACTAAAACCCGACTGGCGATTCTTAGAATATCCTGGTTGAAGAGATTGTCTAGAACGCCGTCGGTCGCAAGAACAAGAATATCGCCGTGACGGAGCGCGTGTTGGGTAACGTCAGCATCCCTGGGAAGGTCGCTAAGCTGAGCACCACCAAACGCCGCCATGCGAGCAGCAACGCTGGGAGGTACGAGAGATAGTTGGAAAGGAGTATTGAAGGCGTGTGTTTGAGGTTCCGAATATGTGTGAACACCATTGAGTCGAAGTTGAAGGAAGCCAGAATCACCAAGATTCGCGACGTCTAGATTTCCATCTGCTCCAGCAATAGCCACACACGCTGTGCTTCCACCAGCGCGAAGGCTGTCGTCATTGCAGATTGCTTCGTATCCTTTCTGCATTAACTGCCTAGCTGTCAAGGGAGGCACTGAGCTGGTCTGGTGTTCGTGGGCAGCCAATGCCATGTAATCGCAAAATCCGTGTGAGAAATCAGCGGGATCGACACCGGAATCTACCCAGCCCCCAACACCATCAGCAACACCAAAGGCTACTGATCCGGAGTCGTTGATCCGGCTGACAAAGAAGGCATCGTGTCCAGATTCGGGTCGAGCGGAAGGTCGACGGTTTCGGGGGGGCTGAATGCGATTGTATGGGTTGAAGTGGAAGACGTGAGTGGAGGGGTCGTATGGTCTATCCTTGGCAATGAAGGAGGATGCGACATGGTAAGAGAATCGAGGAGCATCGGTCGAGGTGGAGTAGAGCTTGGAGCGAGGGCACGAACTCATTGCGACATGAGGATGAGCACGGAGTCGGGAGCAGGATTGCGTCGGAGCTGCCACAGTTAGAATTGCGAGTTTTTGAGTATCGTAAGGGCAATGCGACCAACCCTTAGCAAGCGTTCGCAATGAAGCCGTAGCAAGTCGATTGCAGGATGCAGCCATGGAGGGCTAGAAAGTGGATCGTCCAGAGACAAGAATCGATGCGAATAGTGACGGGTTGGAGCGAGGATCGGAGGAGGATTAAAATACTGGTGACGATAAAACTTTGACAGAAATTACAGAGAAACCATCTTTGCCAAGGAGATCGTAAGAGAAAAAATTGGTGTCATGAGAGAAGTGGGATCGTGAACGGAGAAACAAAGTTGTTGAGCGCCGATTTACCAACTTGTTATCTAATCTTGACTGGCCAAGCCCCTCCAATATCCTTTCACAATAACCAATTCCTCGGAACAAAGAGGCAAGCCACATATACCTTGTCAAATCATGCACGATGAAAGGAGGCGGTGCATGGTTCAAGCCACTGCATGCTTGCAACATTTCCCGGAACCTCATCTCCGCAATTATTGATACCCGCTGTTGATCCGCGATCCTACGCCCAGTAGCAACGTGGTTTCACGAGCCCGTTCCTGCCGATTCCGAGACCAGTGAAGCCGAAGTTGACAATTCCAAATTTGTGATTGGTCAGAGGTCAGCCGTAGGTCCCATTGTAAACTGCAATAACCGAGGAAGGTTTGCCTACCCAATACATGACGACGAGAATCCTCGATACGCCACCCTTTGCGAATAGACAATTCAACTCTATCGGAGGAGATTGCACGGCATTTCTTTACTGTCAATTGTCTGACCACAGCTCCAACTAAACATTGCGAAGTTTGACTGTCCTTCTCCTCCGGTCCCAATCGCAATTGTACTTCCTCGATTCGATTATTCGACAAGATGGCTGCTCTTCGATCTTCTTCCCGACTCGTCGGAGCCTTCTCAAGGACGGCTGCTCTCCGACCTGGTGCTGTCTTCACTCGTTCTATGGCCTCAGTTAGCGAGCCTCCCAAGGACTCTGATGCCAACCTCAAGTCTTTCCAAATCTACCGATGGAACCCCGATACCCCCAGCGAGAAGCCTCGTCTTCAGACCTACACTCTGGACCTCAACAAGACTGGACCTATGATTCTCGATGCCCTCATCCGAATCAAGAACGAGCTCGACCCTACTCTGACCTTCCGACGAAGTTGCCGTGAAGGTATCTGCGGTAGCTGCGCCATGAACATCAACGGACAGAACACTCTTGCTTGCTTGTGTATGTCCCCCTTCACCCGGGTCGCATGCGGCAAATCACATCGGATAATGAAGTGCTAACGTATTCTCAGGCCGAATTCCCACTGAGGCTGCTTCCGACGTCAAGATCTACCCTCTTCCTCATACCTACGTCGTCAAGGACCTTGTCCCTGATTTGACACATTTCTACAAGCAGTACAAGAGCATTAAGCCTTACCTTCAGCGCGATACCCCTGCCGAAGACGTACGACCCCTTTCTCACTTACAGGAAACTTACATTTACTGACCCAATTCTTAGGGCAAGGAGTACCGACAGACCAAGGAGGACCGCCGTAAGCTCGACGGTCTCTACGAGTGCATTCTCTGCGCCTGCTGCTCTACCTCATGCCCATCTTACTGGTGGAACTCTGAGGAGTACCTTGGACCCGCTATCCTTCTCCAGTCTTACCGATGGCTCGCCGACTCTCGTGACGAGCGCACCGCCGAGCGAAAGACCAACCTCGAGAACTCGATGAGCCTGTACCGTTGCCACACTATCCTTAACTGTACCCGAGCCTGCCCCAAGGGTCTTAACCCTGGCAAGGCCATTGCCGAGATCAAGAAGCAGATGGCTTTCGGCAGCTAGATTATCAAAACTACGAATATGTCGCGAAAACGATGTGACGATTGGAGGGAGAAGCGAAGCATTTAAAGGGTTGTCGCAGAGCAAAATCTGCGTATGAGATTATTAGGACTTTAACCCTGTGTATAGGCTATGGATGGGAGTTCCACGCTGTGCTCTATAGCAAACTTGGCAATATTATTTTCTTGATCGTTCACCCCTGGTTCCTGTACTGTTATTGAGTTTCTTGTGCTCACTCTGGTATGATTCTGTAAACTGACTTTAGCTACGTACGCAACCCCCGACCGAACGGTACCGTACTTCTCGAGCGCATCGAACAGCTGCTTGGATTTAAGATAGAGCATCATATACAGACTAATTGAGAATTAAGAACTAGGAAAATCGCCCGACAGCTGCGATCCTGACCCTCCGCCCTCGCTGATTCAGTTGCCAATCGTCAATCGATCCCCTGTTCAGTTGTCTTCAAGCAGAACGTCGATACTTTTAAAATCCGCCCTTAATCCTCGAGCTTCGAGGTCGAAACTATCAGTTTTCTTGAACTGCTTTCTCATATGACCTCCTGACCTTCTCATCACTTCTACAATACAAGACTTTGGCATGGAGACAGCGAGTGCTGATCCCCAATGATCGACATACACGACATGATCAACACATAATACTACAAGACACATTCCGTTAACTTACAAGGAGGAGAAAGACATATTCGATATGTGGCTTCGGAGATTTTACAAACTTGAAACGTAACTATAATAATCAGGAGCTTGTCTAAACCTTACTTCTTGAGGATGCTGTGGACTGTGCTGGCGTTCTTTTGGCATGTTTACGACTGTGGCCTTGAATTCGCGGGACTTACTAAGATTCCTTACAACAGTGATCAACCTCCCTGCATCAAAAGATCCTTTCATTGAGCAGGGAATCGCAGTCAATCTCGTCAAGACTATCTGACATGACAGGCGGCAGTTAAGTAGGTATATGAGTTCGTTGGTATGCTCATGACGGTCAATTTTTCGTGAGCCAAGACATTCTGTTTCGAAAAACTCAAGTATTACAGCCGTATTTGATAGATTTTAAAGACAACTTTAACATTTTTTACGGCTACGTGACACATATTGAAGATTGCCATAATGTCTCACAACAACTGCCGACCTGCGGAATGCTGAACCGTGTGTACTAACCATCATGCTCAGTTTGAAGTCAATGATAAACTTTATGCTGATATGAGTTCAAAGCTTTGAATCCAATATTGGAGGTATGTTGATATGGCGTGGGAGGGACTGTGAAAGGTATAAATTCTGGTCTCTCCTACCTGCAACAGAAGACCAATCTTGATATCAACATCCACAACTTCACACTTCAAACCTTACACTTCATATCTTAACAACCTGCCTAAAACTTCATCATGTTCTTCAAAACTATCATCGCCGCTTCCGCTATCGCTGGCCTTGTTGCCGCGGTGCCCTTCAACACCAACACCACAAGTGCCTGTCCCACTCTCTGCGTCGATGCTATCAATGACTGTGGTTTCATGTACGGAGGGTGAGTCAATTCAAACCCCAAAATCTCCGAGCGTAAAATATCCGAGTTGCTAAATTTGACTAGATGTTATCCTATTTGCTCTCCTGAGCTGTATCCTACACCACCACCATGCACACCTACTACACATACCACCCCTATCACCCCAGACATTACCATCACTCTTATCACCCCAACCCCTGAACCTATCACGAACTCAACTAGCTAAACGGGATGCTACTGATTCTGTTTTGACTTGAGGTGGCAAGAGTATTGGCAATGGAACTGTTATTCGACATTGGAAAGCTCTACCTTTTAGGCTGGATTTTCTTACCTAGGCATTCAAGATTGTTGATTATCTAAGTATACGACACGTTTTACTCTAAAACTACCTAAATCTTTCCTATAACTAGTAGTATGCATTGCCTGGCGTACTTGGACTTCGTGAATAATCATCTACCGTTCCTGGGAATGCACCAACTGGTGCTGAAGGTCCCCCCTTGACATCGTCGTCTGAACTTAGGTCATCGACATATGTATCGTCATCCTTAGGCGGTGCGCGCATGGCTTCGAAAATATCTCTGTCCAGTGAAGGCACCTCGTAAGGCTTGAGTGTATGAATCTCTCGCCCTGACGGCATCTTGCTGAGGAGTGTGTTGATGGGAGGGACGGCTTGTGTGTTCATCTGGCGTAGATATCAGCATATGCCACAATAGTCCTTGGTGAAGTACTTACAGTATCGTTGACTTTGTTCCACTTAGCATCGAGCATCTCTAATACCCGAATCTCCTCCATCTTACCAGCATCACTTCCCCATGCAGACTCCTTATCCACACGTCGATCTTCGCGCTTCTCCGTAAAGTCTTTCTTCAATCGACTGAAACTAAGTCCCTTCTTGCTGTTGTCTTTGACTTCAACACCTAGCTGTGATAAGCCGGCACGAACCCACCCAATGCCATCTGCAACCTGGCCACCTATCTCGGCATCGATTCCAAAGAAACGACAAGCGCGAGCTCGACATGTTCGGCGGAGATCTTCTAGATATTTCAAAAGAGCACTATTGATCTTATGCGAGCCAGATCCTGCTGTGCTGCATAGAGATGATGCTTTGGCTGCATGTTCTGAGGCTGCTAAACACAGTCGGGCATAAAGATGGGCGCGAACTTTTGGAATCTCAGGGGCCTTGAACATCCACTCCTTGTCGTTCTTGTTCCGGTCCTGAGCCACTATTGCTGGATACGGATCGTCTTTAAGAACGGCAAGCAACGTAGCTTCAGCTAATGCCAGAGAACACAAGGCTCGAGCTGTTCCCGGAGCAACATCAGGGCATGGAGGAGGAGCCGTAGCGTGCTCTCCTCGACCTGCTAGATAATCATACACGGAAGCTGCTTCGAGGAGACATTTTGTTGCGGTTGTGACGGCATTTGTTCGCTCCTGGGCCCCGAGAAACTCGCTACTGGTTGAATAAAGTGGTTGTAAGGCAGACCGAGCTGTCAGAACATGAGAGAAGCCCAGAGTTGAAAGTACAAAGGCAATCTCATGTTCTAAAGATGAAACTTTGACTCTAGCTCTCTCACGTCCCGGGACGACTTCGCCAGATAAAGTTGGTCTCCATTCGATAACCGGGGGCGTCTTTGGCGTGACGACAGCCAGACCCTTGTTACTTAGACCGTCGTCCACTGTTAGCAGATACGGAAGGTAGCCGTTGACGCTGGAAATAACTGTGTTTAAGTTTGAGACCTGAGAGCTTGGAGGGAGTCTCTTGTGCTTTTTTAAAGCATCTCGAAGTACCCCACGATATGTGCTGGCGTTGAGGGGCAGTGAAGGATGAGACTCGGAGCTGAAGCTTGATGAGAAAGAGAAGGCCGAAGTGGTTGGGAGAATGAAGGGGAATGGCATTTTGGATTAGAAGAGAACAGGCCTCACTCTGAGGTTGAGTATACAGAGATTTTCAGTACAGAAAAAGAGAGAAGATCAAGTTTTGAGTTCAATTGGTTTGCCAAGCTCTTGGTTCAGGCCTGACGATATCACCATACTGTGCGCATAGTAGCTGCTTACCCACTGTCAAAGTGACGTCTCTTTGCTCCGGGGTTCGGAAGCTCCTTTTCGGCCGATGCGTGCTCAAATACAAGCTCCACCAAAATTTCCGGGGTCGCATTGGATGTCATTTAGAGCTTCGCTTCAGAGCTCCACGCTCTCTCCTCCTTCATCAACCGAACCACTCTTGTTAATGACGACTTTCGCTATCTCGAGGTGACAATGGCTGGTCCTTCTCCGTCACCGCACAAGCCTCGTCGAAAGGCTAATACTAAGAAACCTGGCAATGGCGGCAGCGAAAAGACCCCTCGCACAGAAGCCCTAGTACGGGCGCCCGCGTTCCCTCTTGCGGCGTTTCTATGGCCTGCGCGAACTTCTTTGTCGCAATGGGAGGTTCTGCCGGTGATTCTCATGGTGGTTGGTCTTTTCAGATGGGCAGCTGGTTTGTGGGGATATTCTGGTAAGGATGATTGCTCGAGTTAACCATCATGACACCTTTCGCTAACGTGGATCTTGATATGAAGGGTTCAGTAAACCGCCCATGTTTGGAGACTACGAAGCGCAGCGACATTGGATGGAAATCACGACACAACTTCCCATCTCGCAATGGTATTTCCACGATCTTCAATGGTGGGGTCTCGACTATCCTCCCCTGACTGCCTACCACAGTTGGGTTCTGGGCAAAATTGGCTCTCTCATCGATCCCTCATGGTTCGCGCTCTTCACCTCTCGAGGAAACCAGGACCCCAACCTCAAGATCTTTATGAGAGCAACAGTCATCATCTCGGAGTATCTCATCTACGTCCCGGCCGCGATTGTCTTTGTGCGACGATATAGCAGACTTCAAGGGGTTACCAACTGGACAGCATGGCTTGCGCTCGTCGCGATCCTAATGCAGCCTGCCACTATTCTTATCGACCATGTCCACTTTCAATACAACACCGTTATGCTCGGATTTGTCATGGCGAGCATGTCGAGTATGCTGGCTGAGCGCTACAAGTGGGCTGCTGTCTTCTTCGTCGGCGCGCTGGGATTTAAGCAGATGGCTCTGTATTATGCCTTCAGTGTCTTCTCCTATCTTCTTGGCCGATGCGTCTACCCTCGACTTAACTTTACCAGGCTGTTTGGAATTGCTCTTGTCACAGCTGTTTCTTTTGCTATCCTAATCCTGCCTCTGGTTCTTGGTACACTCTACGACAAGAGCCAGGGCATTGATGCTCATGGAGATTCCAAGGACCCCCCTTCGCTTCCTTTGCTTCCTCAGCTTGTCGAGATTCTGGACACAAAAGCCTTTTACTGGCCTATTGTGGAACAGTTGGTTCAGATGGTCCACCGTGTCTTCCCATTTGCTCGTGGTCTGTTCGAGGACAAGGTTGCCAACTTTTGGTGCGCTGCCAATGTCGTTATCAAACTCCGACAGTGGCCAACACCTCTCCTCCAAAAAGCAGCTCTTGGTGCTACTCTTGGTTCGATTATCCCACCCAACATTATCCTCTTCTTGCGACCACGAAAGTCCACACTACCTTTGGCTTTTGCCGCCACAGCTTGGGGATTCTTCTTGTTCAGCTACCAAGTGCACGAAAAGAGTGTATTGCTTCCATTGATGCCCATGACCCTACTTCTGGCTGGAAAGCATGGCTTGAACAAGGACACCCGAGCCTGGGTTGGCTTTGCTAACCTCTTGGGAGTCTGGACCATGTTCCCGTTGCTCAAGCGAGTCGATCTTAGAATTCCATATGCGGTTTTGACCCTCCTCTGGTCCTACCTGCTGGGTCTGCCACCGACCTCTCTGAGCGCCTATTTCCAAGAGGGTCAAGCTGCCTGGTTGCAATGGGGTACAGCATTACTACATATGCTGTTCTATGTAGCCATGGGCGCGTGGCATGTCCTTGACACATTTGTAACACCTCCTTCTGATAAGCCTGACCTCTGGGTCGTGGCAAATGTTGGAGTTGGTGCTGCAGGCTTCATTATCTGCTATCTATGGTGCTTCTTTAAGCTTATCCAAGAGAGCGATCTGCTACCTGGAGGCTCAACAAGCAAGAAGGATAAAAAGAGCAAGGCCTTGTAGAGGCTTTTTTTTGTCGATAATAGATCTCAATACGATTTTGATTTGGCGTTATCGTTAACACTCCATCGTTGTCCAAACTGCTAGAACGGGCTTGTCCAACTTGTGTCTTACTTTGTACCAGGCTATTCGTTAATGGGTGTAACTTCTTTCGAGATCCCGCCTTGTCTATTTGATCAATCGACGTTGTCTCTCGGCAGCAACGCCCTAGAAGAGCGATGGCAAATAGTGGCTGACCAAGGTCGAAAAGCGACGCTTGATTGTCAAATGAGACGCCGCATACACATGACTTAGCTGGTTGGGCGCAGGCGATGAAAGCAATGAACTCTCACTTCGTTATTGACTTGGCAGCTTATAGGCAGACACAGCTAGCACTATCTATAGCCAGACAGTGCAACCAGTCTCCCAGACAATTGGTTCTTGTAAAAGTGAAAATGGTTGTTGAGGCTGGGGATTGCACCAAGACCTAGGTGGCAGGAATGAGAGCAATCATGGCCATACTTTGATTTATTGGTCTCAGGATCGAGATAGTGTAAGTTATTCTACGAGCGAGCTCCATAATCGAGATTCGATGGTGGTTCAGTCGACAGATCGACTTTGCTCAGGTAGTCTTGCTTTCCTGCAGAGCACCAAAAAAATAATGGTCTTTTCAGGGGTCGAGGAGAATTGCGAGCTGTACTTTATTGCAGAAAGGGCCTTGGCTAGATGACTGGATAAGAGGCTTGTATGTTTTGGTCAGACTTCCAAGCTGAGATACTGCTCAACATTGTTGTCCTCTCATTCAGTGAAAACAAGATCTATTGATGACTATGAGGTCAGAGAACACGGAAAAAGAGCAAAGATTCTTCATCTTATGACATCGAATACAGAGCATCTTTTAGGTTGATTGCGAGCCAACAAGGACCGCTGATGTTTCTTGCTGACACAGGCTGCAGGAACCGTTCCAACGTGACATTCTAGACAAAAGAAGGATCAAAGAAAGGGCCTTAGTCTCGAGTACGGCAGATGAAGGAGTTCTTCGGATGAATTAGACTCCTGTTTAAGGCGCAGTCAAGGACCATGATGTTTTCGACACCGAAGCTGGGCTTATAAGATGGCACTTTGATGCCTGAGAACACGGCCTCATCCTACTTCGTATCAGAGATGCTTGTGACAAGGTAAGTTCGAGGACATGATGAAGGATGACAAAGTGCTTATATCTTGTTGTTACATCGCCACTGAGAGGTTATCATTGCTACGGCAGAAATACTCTGCCATGAGCCTCAGAGAATAATCAATTTCATGGTATCGAAGGTTGGAAGACCTGGAGGAGCTGACTTTGCCAAGTGACCAAGCAACCAAAGGCCTGAATTATGCATGTGCTTGGAACTGGGGTCTGATCCGATTTGAGAGCCTGGTCAAGACATTTGCAGGTCTTTGCTAACACTAGATCTCTTGGGGAAGCTGGAATTTGTTCTGATTTGGAATTTGTCATGTTCCTTTGCCTCATCATCAGTGTTGGTCTTGGTAACAAGTGATTGAGAGCCAAGGGTTGATCATGTTAGAATACGATGCACGCATGCACTCTCAAGTCTGCAAGGTCGGAATAAAATGCTGATTCTGGAAGTCTTCGGGGAAGAGGCAAGATTCAAGACTCTTGGTTATCTAACCCATGAGGCAAAATGACTTTGGGGTGAGGTTGCATGCTCCGGGGAGAAGAACCATTGGGGGCCAAATGCATTGGGTGAGGAGATTGTTGATCTGGATCATATGCCAATGACCGAGGATCTATCCGATGTTTATTGGTGGAGCCAGAGTCTTGTCGAGTAAGATTTTATGCAGGTTATCATGGAGTTGTTCTCGTTCACAAGCAAACCACTAGATAGCAAGTTTTGGCCGATACGATAAGATATATGATTGACGAGTGAGAGAGAGCTGAGAGCGAGGAAGGACGCGTGGAAAGACCCGAGAAACGAGAGACGAATTTACAGGGCAAGGATATATAATCCTTGTCTGCATTAACCGATCTTACATATTTGATGAGACCCCATGAGCATGTAAAGAGAGGACTTGGCCTGATGTGAGGATAGACCCCAAAGTCCCAATTTGATCGCCGAAGCCAAGAGAAGAGCAACGTGTCACTGCTGGTGAAGAAGTGTTGCATTCATCCTAGATAGTGAGTCTCTGTATAAGGCTGAGAGGATTTTCATAGCAAATTGCGGAGGAGCCGGGAATAGACTTGATTAATCCACAACGGGCCAACAGCTCCGAAAGAAACAAGCCTCGGCCGTGTTGCTCAGCCTTTGTTATGGAGTTGCAGTTGCAGGCGAGTTTTGTTGTTGGTGGGCAAAAGCGAAGAGGTGAGGTTGAGATTATGGGCCCAAAATAACTAGTGTCCGTTGCTGCAGTGCTTGGCATGGATACTAAGCTCAGCAAATGCAACCTCAAATTGCTGCTTATTAGATGAGGCTGATGCTGACTGGTCGGATATAGAGCATCCCTACATATAATCCTTGGATAGTGCTTACTGTGTCGGTACGGTACCTTGTTCGACAGCACAGCACAGTAGAATCGAATTTGGCTAATAAGCTGACAGTGGAGATTAGAAAAATCCTTTGAGGGAGAAAGACTTTTCTACTGTGCTGTAGTGTACAGTACGTAGAGTACTTTGGTGTAGTGGTGGTGGGAGAGTTTAAGTCTAGGCTTAAGCATAGTGGCCAACTCTATCTTGAAACTAACAAAGCCCGAGATCACGACTACACATATACAGTATGATTACATGACTGAAGCCAAAGAACGAAAAGACAGTAAAAGACCAATGCTTCATGAAACTTATCTCAATCTGAACAAGGCTGAGCTACCTAGTGGGATCGCCGAAAAAAAAAAATGTGAGCGGGCTTTGGCCATCTTGGCTCCTTTGTTCACCTCCGCCAGGTCTAATCCATGCATCCTCCACCAACAAGACAGGTCCATATACGTACGGGAACTTGTAAAGCAGATCCACAGATAGAGACAGATGGTGTGCTGAACCGAAGCAGCGAAGCAAAGCAGTGCATTCGCTCAGCCCCCAGAAACTCTCAAGGCCCCCTGACTCGAAGCCAAGAGATGCTCGAGCTGTCTGCTGTCAGCCCTCCTTATCCTGTCTTTGTCTAGCCCTGCCTCCTTCAATATCATCCCCTGTCCTGTCATGTACTGCCCTATGGGTTTGTCGTGCTACAACGGCAAGGTAAAAGGGACGAGGGTTACCGTTCCCGTCTGTTGTGGACTGTGACATTTCTCTCGTCATTACTCAGCTCCTCCCGCCTCGTTTCTCCTCTTCCTCTTTCTCTCGTTTTGTTTCTGTTTTGTTTCGTCACTCTCACTCTTGACCTAGAATCTTGCTTGCCTTATACAAGCTGTTCCTCAGTGTTAACTAATTCGCAATGGTTTCAAAGTCATTGCTAGTCCTCACGGCGGCTCTCGCTACAGCCTGGGCTCAGACAACAACAGATGAACCCACAGCAACAGCGGAAGAGTCTTCCACAGGAACCTCATCTGGAGAAGCAGTAACACACACTGTCAATGTTGGAGCAGTAAGTCAACGCCATTGTCACATGATGAAACATCAATGCTAATTAATATACAGTCCGGCCACAAGTTCACACCAAACGAGGTCAAGGCCGATATTGGTGATATTATCGAATGGCGTTTCTATCCCACCGATCACTGGGTCATTAGAGGAGACTATGACAACCCATGTATTCCCTACGAATACATCGGCGTGAACCGCCAGGGTTTCTCAAGTGGCACGCAAAAGGTCCAGGCCATCACCGACGATGTAAGTTGATCAAGTCTCTCAGTCTCGAATCAAGTCAAGTCAAAACAAGACACTAATACTCAACCAAAGGGCCCTCGATACCGAGTTCGCGTCAACAACACTGATCCTTTCTTCTTCTACTGCGGAGCTCCAGAGTCATGCTCCAAGTGGAAGATGATGGGTGTTGTCAACCCTGTAAGATCTACACTATTGCACACTTGATACCTATCAACTAACATAACATCCAACAGTCCAAGAATGAGACAATCGAAGGCTGGCTTGAGAACGCAAAGGATGTCGACATGCAACTACGACCTGGAGACCCATGGCCAAAGGAGGGAGAGTCCACTTCTACCAGCGCAACATCGGAACCGACCGCCGACAACAGTGATGAAGATGACGAGAGCAGCGGGAGCGGCAAGAAGTCTCTTTCTACTGGAGCCATTGCTGGTATTGCCGTCGGTGGTGCTGCTGTTCTTCTCCTCGCCGGTGCTCTTCTCTATCTCTGTGGACGACGAGGTGGCTTCGACAAGGCCTATCGCAAGAGTTTCCGCAACAGTGTTCCTCCTGCTCCTCCTGTTGTCGAGAACCCTTACTCTCCTCACCCAAGTGTCGCTGATCCCTGGGCTGCCCAGAAGAGCCCTGGTCTTATGGCTGCTCCTTACGGCCAGAGCCCTCCTCTCAGCCCTCATCAGTCAATACCCTATGGAACACATCCCGGCATGGTCGCTCAAGATGGAACCCCCGTTTCATACCAGTAAGTTTCTCTCATTTCACTCTTCAATACTTGTTCTAACTCTTTACAGTGAGGGTTACCATCAACCGCCTATGGCCGCTTCTCCCGCTACAACTCCCAAGCCTCACGAACAAATCGCCCCCGTGGAGCTTCCTGGCTCTCCAGAACCCAACCATTCTCCCCTCCCCGCATACAACAACAACAATGACGGAAGAGGATTCTCATGGAACGGGGATGAGCAAGGATATCGCCCCACGAAATAGTTGTCACGTATACGAAATCCAACAAGGCAGGTCGTACATATTACGGTGTATGCAAATCACTATAAAGAGGCGTTCAACGGGAGTGTCATGTTACACGGGAGTTCTGTAGGGAAGCATTTTGTAGTAATGCGGTCTTTGTGTTATTTGAAAACTCACTTATACTTTACGATATCAGAGATTTTTAATCTTGTGGATGGCTTGGGGATATCTCAAACTTCATACCCTTGGCTTGAATTCAGTCATTCACAATTATAGCTTGTTAGTACTATAAAAACAATAAGTTATTTCACGATATGGGTTCATTCGGGTGTACCAAATTGAAAATTTGAAGACAACAAACGTAGACTGTCAAAACTCATGAAAACCTGCCTGAAAACAAAGACTTCCATGACATGAAATTGAATCGCACACTCCGAGATCGATTCGAGACAACAAAGAATGCCCAGTTGGTGCTGAAAACAGCTGAGGTCAATGCTCAGTCTCAGATCCTGGATGGCCGAGCTCAACTTGATCATCAGATGAATAGGGCACAGAAGAGACTCGAGCCGCTGAGGTCATATGAGAACAAAGAAAAGGCTTGACGACCTTTTTTTTAAGTCGAGATTGATTGATCAATCTCATCATGTTTGCAAACTACGGTCAACGCCTAACACCTCATAGTCAGGCATTGATCAGTGCAGTTTAAGGAAGCACGCCAATATAACGCAGAAACAACTGAATACCTACTACCTAGAGAAGGTTAGAAAACTCGAGGGGTTATCTGAGGCTACAAATCCCGAGGAAAGTTTAGCACTTAGGAGGCTTTTTCGTTCATCATCTTTGGGCCCCTGAGCCAAGGTCTCAAGGTTTTGCTCCCCAAAGGAACAGGCCAACGAAACGAGAATCATTTCTATATCATCATTATCATCAGCCATAGGGTAGGGTGTGTGATGCGACACGCCGTCAGACCGAACAGTCATACTTCACGAAAGGTGGTATGCCAGAAACCCTAATTAGGACCAGTTGGCGTGGCTTCACCGAAGCAGTACCATGGACCAGAACAACCATTCACAGCAGGACATTCACGGTGGAACCAAATATTCGAAGAGCCGAACCGCCTTTTTAATTTCCATAGACCGTATTTATCCCATTTTTAGAGAGACCCAATCCAGCCATGAGCGGCCAATCCATCCACGCCAATGACATGTAAGAACTGGTGAACAACCCGTGCGTAGCAACTTCGAAATTCGTGAGGCGTCGTAACCGTGCAGATCTTTAGATAGAGATCGCTTAGTCGAAGAGACCGAAGCCCATATCCTCGTCGGACTCCTCCTTCTCCTCTTCCTTCTCCTCCTCCTTGGCCTCCTCAGCGGCACCGCCAGCGGCAGCAGCACCACCAGCGGCGGCACCACCAGCACCGCCGGAGGGAACGGAAGCGAGCTTCTCAGAGCCCTCAGAAATGAGCTGGATATTTGTTAGTATGGTACAGATTCGTAGGTAATGTCGAGCCATCTTACCTGCTGGATATCCTTGCCCTCAAGCTCGGAGATCAGGGTGTTGAGGCGCTCGTCGTCGGCCTCAATGCCAACGGACTCGAGAACGGCCTTGACATCGGCGGCAGAGGGGGAGGTGTTGCCTCCGAGGCCGAGAAGAAGGTAAGCTGCGAGGTGCTTCATTTTGATAGTGGTTTCTGATTCACAGATATTAGAAAAAGATCTTGTGGAAAAGATGTTGCGCTCGTCGAGTCCAAGCAGGGGGGGAAGGCAGAGTTATATACTCACATCTGAAGTCGGAAGAGAACACGAGAAATCAATCACTTTAACCGCAAGTTGGGCGGAGACTGAAACCTTCGAGTTCGGTGGTGAGGTTGTTCGGTGTGACAAAAAGTAGAAAAGTTCGCGATCCCGTGAAAGCTAAAGGCCAATTTTGATCCTGTGGGCACCCTAGGCGAGAGCGTAGAGGGGGGTCACGTGTAGTGGGGTTTTTACTCACGTCGGATCCTTAAGACCTGAGGCTGATGGCGGGGGAGATCGGAAGAAGACAAACGCCGAACCCGAGGCACGCACCGCCACATATACCTCCACGTGACCAACTGCGTTCAGTCTGTGGCGCATTCCCTGATTTCATGGCCTCGCCCATAAAGTTGGCTGTTGACTGATTCTTTGCTGTTCACTAACTGTATGCTTTTCTCTTCTTTTGTTTCGTGATCGCCTGCATTTCAGGCGTATTTGATGAGATTTTCGAGCGAATACGACCACCAACAGCCCTTCTATCGACTCTGCGCCTCATATCACCAGAAAGTCTTAAACTCTTGTGTTTAAAGACGTCAAAAAAGTGCCTGACGACAGACCGAGAGTGAACAAGCTTTTCCAGCCGCTCAATGACTCACAATCCACGCCTGAGGCTACTTGTTCCTCTCTGTCTTTGAGGGCTCTAGTCAACTGATATTACAAGGTTTTTTGACTGCATTAACGACGCGATGCCGGTGAGTAACTCTCCGGAGGCAAACTTCGTGAGTATCAGGAAAAAGTTGACCATGGCTTTCAAGATTGGAGATCTCCTCGCCCAGATCAGCGGTGGTGATGAGGGGTCTACCGTACCCCCTAAACAGAATCTGGTCCGGTCGAACACGTTACCCAAAAGGAAGGCCGACGATGATCCTCGATCGAGTATTTCGAAGGCACCTCGAGTGACCACGTTATCCAGTACCGTGGCACCACGAACGATACAATCTCCTACTACTTTCTCAAGACCAAACCTCCCATCACGACCCGCCGATAGATTGATACCCTCACAACGACCCTCGAACCCCTCGAATGGTAGTAGTAAACCTTCCGTCTTGTCGTCCAAACCCATGAATGGGGGTAACAGGGTCTCCAAGCCTGTTGCCCCCAGCAGACCGTCACCAGGTCCCGCAAGCGCATCTTCTGCACCACCGAAGAAGGGCTCCTTCGCTGAGATTCTTGCACGGGCTCAGAAGGCCCAGCAATCGATGGGACAAGTTGGTAAGATCCAACACAAGAAGGTTGAAGGTGGCGCTTTGAAGAAGGTCAAGGAGGAGCCACCTGCAAAGGTCGATCCTCGAGCAGCCAAAAATATGAAGCAACGTCCAGCACCTGCTCCCTCGGGCTACTCCGGCACAGCGAAACCAGGCCAAAGGCCAGCTCAACGGAATGGCGCACCTGTGTCCGGAGCCGGAAGGGATCCGCGTAACGGAAAGCCCCTGCCTCCGACAAAAGCAGAACGTGGCAAGGTGACCGGCAGCAAGTCATCCTCAGGCAGAGCCGCGCCCCCTGAGGAAGAAACCAAGAAGGTGAAGAAGGCGGCCATGGCTACAACTGGTTATACCGGCACAGCCAGACCCAGACCAGGAGGTGACGTTGGCAAGAAGAAGAAGGAAACCCCTCGTGGCGGTGCATTACTCAGTGCCCCACGAGCTCCTCGTCCATCACGTTCAAAGTCACGATTTGAAGACGATTATGACGAGGATCTGGATGATTTTATTGACTATGACGATGAAGAAGACGACGGCGGTCCACGATATGATTATGCTTCCGATGCTTCTTCAGATATGGAGGCGGGCATGGATGATATCGACGACGAAGAGCGGCAAGCAGAGCGACTTGCCAAACTCGAAGATCTCAAAGAGGAACGACTCGAGAAGCAACTCAAGGCTGAGAAGGAGGCTCGCAAGCGGCAGGCCTTGGAAGCCATGCGTGGACGACGCTGATGATGGAAACATCTCGACGTCTACCTGCACTATCTTTTTGGTCACTCATCTCGGCTGCGTCTGTCGTGCTTGGAGTTTACTTCCATAGCATCACACGCTGCCGACTCTCACTCACCTTTGGATACCTGCAACATCGTTTCTTACTCGAGATTTCTTCATACGCAAGCAACGGTCGAGGAGTTTGTTAGCAAGGGGCGTTTTACGAGCTTGGACTTTTTGATCACATCTTCACAACTACACCTTTTTACACTTTGCTTCCGATTGTCTTTTTGTTTAGGGGCTACATTAGCGACGGAGTTGTCATCTTTCCTCCCCCATTTTCTTTCCCTTTGTTACGTCCTCATACAGGGGTGGTTTGCATGGTTTTGGCAAAGGACAACTGGCGATGCGGATGGATTACAGACAAGAAGGGGGCAAAACCATTGGAGCTTTTTTTCTGTAAGGGATGGCGAAGTCGATGTACTGTAGACAGAGATGGATATATGGAGACAACGCTTCACAATGATATCGTTGTTCAGAAGTAATTGTTAAACCTCACGAGTTCTACGGCATTCCATCATACACCCAAGACCTTCCGTTTCCACGTGATCCGTTTTTCACCACTCTGGTGCCATATGAGCTTCAGTTACTCATTCTATCACTACACCGTTAGTAGAACCTGAAGGGTACAGCGCACTCGCGCGATCTTCGACGTGCTGTTACTTCCTTACGTACCAATTGACAAACTAAACGTGTATGGCCACAAGAACCACAACTTTGCGGCGTCCATGAGTAGAGTGGTTTGTTCATGTTGACAAAGACTGGCTGGGCAGTGCACACGACAGAAGCATGAAATATATATTTTCCGATCCCAAGAAGTCTAAAACTTAGACGCCATTAATGCCCTTGACTGATTAAATAACGCCTTATTTCCCAGCCTAATCCAAAAGCAATGCACCTCGGGAACGTCCCAACAAATGTGGTAAAGAATCTTTAGTGAAGCTTACCACTGATATAGCCATGCTCTTGAAAAACCGTTCAGACAACCTGACATCGTTTGGGTCTGTGAAAAAGCTGCAGACAACCCACAGCAAGCTCGACGCTTATAATCGGCTGTTATACTTATACACAGTATATAGAGAAACCTGAAATCCAGGCCAGGACAACTATCCATGTAAAAGGCGCCAAGCCACAATCTGAGGGGCCAGACATCAACTGCGAGACAACATCGGACCAGCTCCATGAAAAAAGTTGATCAAGGAAGATCGTCACTCTTGGACGACTTGCCACCTGTGCTCCCATAAGGTCTCAGGTTCCATCCTTGATATGGCTTGACTCCCTGAGTGCTGCTACTGTTGGCACTAGGGATAATAGACGGAGGTGGGTTATGACGAGGCAAGTTAGGCTCTCGCTTGATAGGTGGAGGGGGAAGTGACGCTGATGCAGCCGGAAGCAGACTTGAAGGGGGAGGATGGGCCGGAAGGTCAGCCTTGACTGGCTTTGTCTCCTTTTTGACCTCAGACTCCTCGGGTTGCATGAGCCCCTTCTTGCGAAGATACTGGATTGACTGAAGGACAGTAAGATCTTCTTGCTCCTTGTCGTTGAGAATTAATCGTTGTTGAATAGTGAGCCGTCCATTATTGGCCTCACGATCCTTCATGGCTGCTTCGCGGACTTCAGGATCATGGACGAAGCGGCACTTGCCCTTCTTGCCGCATGTTCCACCAGTGGAATAATATTTGCAATGCTTGGATACGTCGGCTTTCTTGGCCGGCGGGGGAGGCGGAGGAGCAATGTGGGCACGAGTAGACATAACTTCTGGCTCGTCATCCGAAGACTCCTCTGATGGATCTCGCATCTCGTCACCTTCGTCGCCCTGTTCTCGCTTTCGCTTGATCGACGACTCAACTTTGCGCAACTGTCGTCTGAGTTTGTCGGCCTGTTTCTCTAGCGAGGAGGCCTTGTCTTCGCCATCTTGTGCCAACTCGGCATTCTTCTTGGCTTCTACACGAGCCTTGGTGGGGAAATGCTTCTTTCTCTCCGCTAGGAAAGAGGCAACGTCTTTCACGCTGTAGTTGTTAGCATTATTATAGCGGAAGGGCTACGAGTACTTACTTGAGTGTTTCTTGTCCGATCAAGTCCGTCAAAACCTTCTCCTCTCCTTCGTCATCTTCAGACTCCGAATCCATACCAGGGGTTAGACCGAGCGTGTTGGTCTTGCGCTTCTTCTTCTTTCCCAAAGTTGGGGTTTCAGACTTGTGATGAGCAGAGTCGTTGTTCCCATGCTTCTGGTGACGTGACTTGTCATTTCCATGGTGACCTCCGCGTCCTCGAGTGTTCCCGTCGCGGAAGCCTCCTCTACCACGACGGTTGTTGTGGCCGTAGTAGCCGTCCTGGTGATGACCAGGGGGTGGATGAGGGCCAGGGTATGTAGGATACTGTGGAGGAGGATAGTGAACTGCTCGTGGGTTATGAGGATAAGGCTGGCCATAGCCATTAGCTGGTGGCATGGCTTCATGCTCATAGCCAGGGCGCACAGGACCATTTAATGGAGGCTTTGGGACATTGCGGTCATTGTAGCCGCCGCGCCCTCTCCCGTTGCCATAAGGGCCTCCCGGTGGCTGTCCAGCACCACTCCACTGGGCCTGGTTTGGGGGAGCTGGTGGCCCTTGGTAAGGATAGGCCTGTGGAGCGCCGTAAGGTGGCTGTTGAGGGTATTGAGGGGGAGGGTACGGTTGAGCAGGATAGTTGGGATGGTAATTGCTTGGAGGCATAGAACCTTGCGGATGCCCATGAGGGGGATGTCCGTGCTCTGGTCCCCATTGAGGCTGCGGAGGATAGCTTCCTGCAGGAGGGTGCGAGGCACCGTAGGGAGGAGGGTTGTGAGGAGGATATGGCTGGCCATTGTATTCATAATGACCTTGAGGGGAGCCATGGTAGTCTCCACGGCCGCCATTGTAATGGCCACCGCGTCCTCGTCCGTGATGCCCTCCTCGACCTTGGCCGTGTTGAGGGTATGATGGAGCTTGTGGCCCATAACTTGAAGTTCCACCAGAAGAAGGCGGCGGTGGCGGAGGTGGAGGACCGTAACCGTATCCTGACATGGTGAAGATAAGTGTCGACGACAATAGATGTAGGGGGGTCGATGTTCAGGTGGCAGAATTTGAAGATTGCGAAGGCCAGAGTCGGAAATCAGCTGGAGGATGAAGCTTCAAGGCGTGCGTTTGTAATTGAATCGATTGGTTGTTTACCAAGTTACTCGATGGAGTGTCGGAATTCGGTGAGACGAAAGACGGGAGTAGTAAAAACCTTAGCGAGTTGCTGTGATCGAGTAAAAGTTTACATAGGATAAGACAGCGTGAGAAAGAGGTTAAATGAAAGAGAGTTAGGAATCAGAGTTAAAAAGATGTTATTGGAACTCTCAGGCCCGGTAAGTGAGGCAATGGCACCAGGACTGCAGTTACCCGTTTGTGACGCCCTTTCCAAAAAAGAAGGCACGACAATGATTGAAAGACGGAAGGAGCTTGCTCTGGAGCGCCAGACTGTGACGAACTTCCCTGTACAACACAGTCGCGGTCGACATACTAGTCTTTTTTTTGGAAGGCGGTGAGCTGCTGTGAGCTTCAATTCGACTGAATACGGCTTAGCGCCACTGGCATTCTTTTTCTGCCGCTCTCAAGGTTCTTTGGACGCTGTCAAACACCCTTAGGCTGGTACTCAAGAACTTCATAGAGCTGAATTTCTTTTCATAGGACTTCAACGATCTTTCATTTCTCCTTTTTCTCTGACTTACCAGAAGACTTATATTAGTGGATTCTCGCGCATTCGGTGTTCCAATGTTCATCTTGGTTTGTTTTACCCTGCCATTGATGCATGAATCAAGGACTCATAAGTTGTTTAGACGAAGATCGCCGACTTGGTGCAAATTGCGCCGGAGGATTTCTCGAAGCGCAGCATAGACGCAATCGAAGACAACATCAATGCCAAGTATTCTAATAAAGTGAGAATTATTTTACGTTATCGCATATTGAATTCGTGACTAACTGAACGTAACAGGTTATTCAAAAGATTGGTCTTTGTATCTGCTTGTACGATCTGCAATGGGCATCAGAAGGTCTCATTGGACATGGCACAGGTCTTGTGAACGTGAACGGTGAGTAGAAATGCGCTTTGAATTTGAGGTGAAGCTAACGGAGCATCGCTCAGCTGAGTTTCGCATGGTTGTATTCCGCCCCTTCAAGGGTGAAGTCATGATTGGCAGAATACGAAGTTCTACGCCCGCAGGTATCAATCTGAGAACAGATTTCTTCGATGACATTTTTGTGCCATTTGAGGAGTTACCAGAGGGTGCCGAATAGTGAGAAGCCCGTGACTGCTTACATATGCAGATGCTAACACCATGCAGCAACCACAGCGAACAACTCTGGATCTGGAATCTCGATGAGGATCGACTCTTCTACGATAACCATGAAATGGTTCGCTTTCAAGTAATAGATGAGGAGTGGCACGATCAAGCTCCTGCTGGCCCAACACAAGCTGAAGATTCACCTTTGAAGACTCCGTATCGCATCAAGGCCAGTATGGCTGCCGAAGGACTTGGAGTATGCCTCTGGTGGGATGGAGCATAGTGTTGGGTAATGGACTGAAGAATTATAGAAGAACAAGGGCCCAGGAAAATATGTCACCGCGTTTTATTTGGCGTATGTACATTTGCTCGTTCTATGAATCTACGATTTGATACCCGCCAACAGACGTTCCTCGACGTTGTCCAGAACAGAGTAGTGCTCCACAACGTTCAAGTTCTCAATTTCGGCCACGAATTGCTTGTGGGGGTCTTGACCAGGACCGCCCATCATGGGGTTGGGCATCTGCTGCGCTTGCATTTGCTGGGCAACCTGACTGGCGGCTACATGGTGTTAGTTGATCCAAGAGACTGTTAGATCAGGACACTTACCATTGTCACTACCGAGAAGGAAGACATAAACAAACTGGAGACCGAAGATGCAGAGGAAGTACCAGCTGATACTGGACATCCATCGAGGATCCATTTCCCTGGTCTGAACACCAGCCTGGAGCATGCTCTTGAACTTGATAGTAATGGGGAAGGGCAATTTCACTATTATGATTAGTATTGTCCAGATTCAATAATAAATGAACATACTAATGACATATCCACTAAAGAAGGCGTTAATCCAGCTCATGATGAGTGTATTGGGGATAATCATGGCCATGTTGTTCTTCATCATACCCATCATGCCGTCCATAGCGCTGGGATCGGACAGAGGGTTGGCAGGAGGTTGGCCCTTGCGATCGGGCTCCTTAAGGTATGTTCCAGCCTCGTAATTGGTCGTCAGAGTATCACGTCGAGTCTCGAATGCCTTCTGTGAGAGGACATGGTGGTTGGTCCGAAGAGCGACACCCCGAGCAAGGAAGCGTTGCTCACGCATCGCCTTTTCGTCCTGCTTCTTAGGCGCGGTCGCCATAAGTACAGATGCGTAATGACGGAGAACACCAGTCAGGACCATAACAATGGTGATGGGGATAAGGATCCAATAGCTACAAGCTCAAGTTAGTGGTTTGGTCCATTGGCGGATCGATCGGGAGGCGACGAACAATAACTGAGGATCCCTATGAAGGGTCTGAACCGGAGCTTGCGCCATGATGTCGATAGTCGGAGAGGTGGGATAGGAGCGTTGGGAAAGTGAAGCTGATGTCGCGTTGCAATGGAGCTGTGGGAGATGTGAGGTTCAAGGTCGTCAAATAGCCACGATTCAAGGCTACTGACGCCACATGTAAGCGGAGCTGTTGATTGGTGGCGGTACACTAACGACCCTGGAGCAGCCACACTTTACAGAGGACCTTAGCTGTTCGGGGTTAGACTTTCAATGAAGGGACAGCTATCCACATGCTTCAGCCCCACGACTGACCTCCCATGACAGTGAGTCTCGATACTTATACACAGAGAAAACGGCCACTTTCTTAGCAACATACCACAGTACCCAATTTCTCTAATACAAGCCATTTCAGGCTTGTAATTCATCATGGCCAACGCCGCTGAAAAGATCTCGGTCTATAATCTTGCTGGTAAGCTTTCCAGGTCCTCTTAAGCTCTTATACGAGACAATCTTCTGACACGGTGGCTCTTCGCGACATAGACCTCAAGAACACTTCCGATGATGCTATCCCCAACTACCTAAATTCTCTCAAGTTCCGCCAATCTCATACCCTCACCGATGTTCGTCTTGCCCTCGGATACACTGCTTTCGGTATTGCAGCTGCTTGTTTCTTCTGGGACTACAAACTGGGCTTTGAGAGCACGAAATACTACACAGCTGCTGCTGTTACGCTCTACACCTTGATCAATGGCGCCTTGACACTATGGATTATGTTCCGTGAGAAGGGCGTTGTTTACGAGGGAACTTCACCCTCAGGAGAGAGAGTAAAACAAACATATTGGCATCTTCATTGGACTCTACTAACATCTTTGTTAGATCTCAATCAGCAGCTCTACCAAGAAGAACGTCCCCATCTACAACCTCACTGTCACTATCACCGATAAGAACTCGAAATCCACCGTTCACAAAATCTCCAGGCCTTTTAGTGGTTGGTTCGACCAGACCGGCCAATTCGTTGCTGTTCCCTTCCAGGAGCTCCTCGCCAACTCAGTACCTTTGATCGGCAAGCGAGACCCCAAGCGTGTTACTGTCTCTAAGGAGTTGTTGGATGCCAGCCCTGATGTTCTCGATGCTATTCTGGCTGCCAACGCCACTGGTGCCGAGGCCGCATCCACGCCAGAAATAACTGAAAAGAAAGGTGGCAAGCGACGCAAGGCGTAAAAAGGGGTATACTTTAGCTTGAAGAGAATAACAAGAGGTTATATAGTATGGCGTTTGTAGGCAATCATCTTGATACCATGCATTGTCAGGACATTGTCAGAACTCCAACAGAACGTCTGATTATGGTTGTACTCAATTATCGTCCAATTCTGAATGATCTATGTGTTATATGAACCTTTTCCGAGTATCTATCTTGCACCAACCACGAAAAGGAGATCAAGTCCCATAACCTGATTCACATTGCCTCTATGTAAAAACCAGCCCGTCACCTTACTTGAGGTCTGCCCAAGCTGCCCTAGCCAATCGTGCCGTCTTTCTCACCTCTCGTACGCGGTGTCCACAAACCAATGTCAACTGTTGTTGCACTTGAGGCGCATGTGGTATCAAGTGCTGGGAGTCATATGTTTGTGGTAAGCTTCCCACGATCTCTAGCGCGAGCTTGCCACAAGCAGCCTCTGTCTCTATATCGATTGATGTGGGAGATGGTTTATATGAGAAAACACTGTTGCAGATCTTAATAATGCTTCGAATGTGACCCTTGCCCTTCTCAGGAGCCTCTACGAGTGTGTTCTTAATCACATCCAGGGCTGCCTTGGTTTCGGGGCCGATGCCATTGTTTTGCGCAACAGCGATCGAGATTCGGAGGATGCTGTCTGCATCGGCTTCATAAATAGGGAAATTCATGTGCTTAACCATGAGCAACACCGCGGTGCTGTAGTTCGCCTTAACTTGTTGGTCCTGGACCTCTGCATTCTTTCCAGTAGCGGCTTGTAGCATTGGGCTAACAAGTTGGAAGTAGACCTTCTGGGTCCAGAGAGGCTTGACGATGGCATAGCACTCTTTGGTAAGCGGTTGCTGAGGAGCCACGATGAGTTCAAGTTGTCGAGCAAGTTCGGTGCCAAGCTTAAGATCTTTAGGCGATTCCTTGACCACATCAAGCAATGTCTTGGCCTCCTTGCCGCTATATCGTCTGACCATTCCGGCAACAAGGGCATAGATGGAGGTGATTTGCTCCAAGCGAGAAGCCTCATTTCCTGACGTAGATGCGGGTAATAGACTCGAAGATCGTTGTTCCAGAGCTGTTATGAGACTTGGAACAGTCTCGATTTTGAACTTGTTTGCAAGAATAGTCAAGATAGAAAGAGCCACTGGTCTGCTGAAGTTTGTGTCGGCTGCGAATCCACTGAGAATCAACTCCTGGGCAACCCCAATGTCAAACTACAATCGAGTTAGCAAGGAAGAATATGAAGCATGATTATGTTGATCTTACCAGGCGAGCTACTGTTGGTGGTTGCAAAGCTTGCAGTATACCAAAAGATAGAACGTTGGGTGCTTCGGATACCAACCAACTCCAAGATGAACCATTCTCCAAGCTCGCCGTCGCTTCTGGTGTTTTCTGGGGAACTTTAATAGAATCATCGCGGAAGAGGCTAATTGCAAAACTCTCGGCTTTGAGTGACGTTTGTTGAGATTCGCTGAACTCATGGATCACAAAGCCTGCGAGAGTGGAAATAAGATGAAGGTACTGGTGTCCAGAGACTTCATTGACATTGGCGAAATCATCACTCAAACTCAGAGCTTGTTTGCTTGTTTGAGGATGTGTATCAATTACCTTGGTTGCTCGGCGGTAGAGTTGTCTAGCAATGAATAGGGCAACGAGTAAGAACTCGCTTCTGATCTCGGTCACAGACGCTGACTGAGGAACTCGACTATGGTATTCAGGAGAAGACTCAGTCAGTTTCTCCACGCCAAGCAGACTTAGGGCAGGGTACGCAGAGCCGATCTTTTGTAAGGGTTCATCTTCGATGAAGAATTCTTTATCGGGGTTCTTTGCCAAGCAGGCATCGTTGAAATGTCGGATAGTAGACTGGACTGTAGCTATCAAGGCACACCAAATTTCAGGATCCGACTTGGACTCGAGGGCTTCAAAGAGTTCTGATAGGAATGCACGGATAGAGTAAATGAAGTGGTCGAAGCCGTCGCGTGGTGTGAAAGGTAGTTCTGAGGAGCCCAGATATGCAACCAAACCTCCAAGAGTCTTGATCGTCTCAACCGTATCAAGGACGTTACCATTTTTTCGGCTAGAGTGAATGATGTTCAAACTCTCATCCACTAGGCCGTTGAAACCACGAGGGAAATAGCGGATAGCCCTCTGAAGAGCCCCGGCAGTGTCGTTAATGAGTTCATCGCCTCCAGGTGATCGAGGATACTCGGGACCTGATTTCTTGAGAATGGCAAAGAGAGATTCGCAGATTTCTGAGCAAGTTGACTCGGGAAGTAATCGCTGGGAAATATCACTCGCGCCGTTGTTTGACAGATCCAATGACTTGGAAGGCCGTTGGCAAACCAAAACTCCAGCTCCCGGAACTGCTTGAGTAGCAACCTTGATATCATCATACGAGGCATCCGGTTTAGAGCCGAGACTGACAGGGTTCTTGAAGACGTCTTCATAAAGAGACTTGAAGAAACTGTCAATGGCAGCAAAATCCTCTCGGTCCTCAGCGGCCATATTTGTGTCAACTAGTAGGAAACGGGTTTCTAGAATGACGTGCAAGACTTTCAAAAGATCCTGGGTGTGGACAGGCGCCTTTGGATGTCGCAAGTTCTCTTTGATATGTGTGATGACGGGAGCAGCCATTAAGACAAAAGCGCTAGGCTTGGAGCTCAAGACACTGACCATGAGTCGGCCAGCAGATGAGGCATACATGGTTGTCGCAAGGTCTGGGACACAATCTCTGGTAACTGACAGTGTGTAGTCGCGGAGGCTGTCCCCAGTGAGTCGTCGAGTGAGAGACTTGAGAACTTCCAGGGTGCCCCAGATGGTATCTTCAATCTCTCCATTTCGAACCTCATACTTCAAGCTGCCCCATATTTGGTTGGCGTAGGGGGCAATTGCCTTCTGTGGATGACTGTACTCATCAAGACAGGCTTGCATGGTTTTGAGGATATCGAGCTAGATTCGGTCAGCTTAACTTCTCCCTTAAATAATGGAGTTAACTAACCTTGACATTGACTGTTACAGCATCACCCTGATCAAGTTTGCCCAAAAGGAAAGGAAAGACCTTATCGGCCAATAAGTGATTTGCGGAAAAGCACTTTCGCAGTTGTAGCTTCAACTCTTCAGGGGTAATTGCAACCTGAGATGCTCTAGGGAGTGAAATGGGGAAGTATGGCTTGAAAACACCATATACTTCCTCCAATACGTCTTGAGAGACAGTGTATTCAGCCATGAACAGCCTCAAAATATCAAACCACACCATCAAACACTCGGGGTCTCGCTCACTTCTGCACAGTTGAATCAGGTCGAGCATAAAGCCAGCAGACGAGCCGTGTGTGTTCTGTAAGTCGCTGGCGACACCAGGAGTTGTCATGAGTAGTCGTATGAGCTCGTAGATTTCGAGTCTGGTCTTGGATACTTGGCGTGGGAAATCGTCCTTCAGTGAGCAGACTTTCTGGATAATGTCGTGTCCCATGTGACGTTGGAAGGACTTCATGGCGACTATCCTAGATAGAGCGCTTGCGGAGGGCATAATTCCAGCTTTATGGTCGACCTCGAACATGGCTCCGAAGAAACTGACCAGCAATTTTACTAATCGCTAGTTAGACAAAACCGTAGTCGTATCTTAAACAAGAACTTACCTTGACTAGGCTTCAGAATATCATTGCTTAGAAAATCCAACGTCCGTGATAGAAATTCAAGCGCTATCAAAGTTAGACATGACCTATGACATGCTGTATGAATCAAGACTCACCCTTTGCCCTCGCCGTCCAGTCTGGTGTCTCATTCTCGGCCTCATTACCACCACCTGGCATCCAAGGTTGCACAGCTTCGACCCATCGAGCTACAGGGTTGGTATTGGCCGCTGCAGTTTGAATCTCTAGAAGAAAGTCAGAATAGCTTCATTTATCGAGGACGGAATAAAGTACCGTTGGCAGCCTTTTGGGCTATCGCTGTCTGTTGCCCCTCATTATCGGCAAGCACAAATTCAAGAGCCCATTGCCTGAAGTCCGCCATCATGGACAGTTTGAGACTGCACAAGCCCTTTGATTGTCTTTTGGGATGTACAAAACCAACTAATCGCACAACACCATACAACTTGTATAGAGAAACTGGTAACTTTGCCCCTCGAGTTTGTGATAGTGAAGTGGCAGAAAGTTGATGCCCACCAAAAGCGGTGAAATTGTCTGGCGGGGTAGTTGATCACTGTAGTTGGCTTTCTTAGGAGCGATATCGAAGGCAACAAAATAATGAGAGACGTTATGAAAATAGGGTCCAGATTCTTTGGTATGTCTCTGTTTCGAGGTTTTTGATATAAGTCTTATCAGATTGGTCCAATTGCTGAAGCCCTCTTTGTCATCATGTCAAACTCCGAAGCCGGCCATCGACCTCATCGGAGATGTCCCGTCATTCCGCAGACACGGCCCCACTACAGTATTTCTTGGGTTAAGTGACGACAGCGAATTTTAATGGTCAACCCTTGTATTTCTTTCTCCGTCATCGACTTTCAAAACACATCAACACAGCTGAGCCGATACGTCCACGGGTGGCTCTATTGACTCAATTGATCTTCAACATGGCCTCACTACGAATTCCTGCCCTTCGCCGGCTTGTAGCCGCTCCCATACGCACCACCCGAGCTATCAACCAGCGACGATGGGCACAAGTTCACGATATTCGCTTCCTCGCAACAACTCAACCTTCGCAGGCCGTCGTCGAGAAGTACAAAGAGAAGCTGAACCAGAAGGCTCAACAAGAGGGACACCAGAGCATCGACCAGCTCAAGGCAGCCTACGCCGATAAGATCGATGCTGAGCGTCGCAAGAGCGGCATTGAGATTCCAGTTGGAACAATTCCTCAAGCACCCGAAACACCAGTTATTCAACCCAACGCCGACAATCCTCCTGGACAAGACCAACCCACCAGAGACCCTCGCGATCCTCCTACCACTCCTCCTCAACATCCTCCAGCTGGCTCGGATAAGCCAGCCATTAAGACTCTAAATGACATCATTGACCTCCCCAAGGCACGAGAGCTTCCAGACACGGAGCTTACAGCTATCTGGCGTCTACGACATGCTTCATCCGAGCATAACCTCTGCGCCGTAATCCCGATGTCTACATACAAGGCCATGGAGGACGCTGCACGAGCAGCACCTCAATTCGTCCTCCCAGTGCCTCATCCCGCTCAAGGCGCAGAGATTCACTTCCTCCAGTGGACCTTTGATGCCGAGTCCAAGACCAGCACAGTTCTTTTCACACAGCTTGCTGAATACAAGAACCGAGGCGAGTTTGCGCAGCCTCACACTACTATCACACACCACCTCGACCTTGCCAATGAGCGAGGTTTGGTTTTGATGCAGGGCCAGGTCCTGCCTGACCGAGGTGTTACACCAGAGAACGCCAAGTGGCTTCTCATGTCTCTACAGCGATTCTATGGTGGTTGGGATGGTGAGGATGTCGAGTTGATTGGTGAGCGTAAGGACAGGGCTGAGGAGCGAAAGAAGCTGTTGAACTGGTTCGCAGCTGGTGATTCGAGATTCAGCGTTGATAAGCTGTTGGAGGAGGCTGAGCGCATGGGCTAAATGTGGGGGTATTCAACTTCAACCACGAGTCTATATCATGGTTCTGTGTTATCAAAGGCAAAGAGCGGAACATCAACCTAAGAAAGGCGATGCATTGTAGAATAAACGACCAGTGTACAAAATAATCTAAACAACTATCACATCCTACAGAGCTTTACCTTACCGTATTATGTGATCTCATACTCAAGCTGAAAATGAGGGGTTCAGACTTGTTGCACATTGCAGTTGATGTACGTATTGTAAATGGTACAATATTCTACTCGAACATAACCCCTTATTAAAACAGTATGTCTATAAGCTCGTTGCATATTCAAGATAACATGTGCCAACCTCAACGCCTTCCATACAACGCCATCGCCGATATGAAATCCAAGCCGAGGTATCTAGATAGTGTTGATGTTCAAAAAGCCAAGCAGAGGTATCCGTAACATGATGTCAATCCACATTGCCCCAATCCGTATATCCCTTTTGTGTTCCCTGTTTATTCGTATCCATCTTTTATCTGCGTGTATTGGTTCGTGTGTATCGTGTATGTTTCTTCGAACACTTTCTAAGTCTCGCCGCTACTACTCGATTGGCACTCTTCTACCGCATCTTCTTTGACGGACATTTTCTCCTTTTGTGGTAGGACCGCCTCACAACCTTCAGGGACTCGGCAAATATCGCGCGCGTTGCATGTTTTCCACAGAACCTCGCGAACTTCTTTGAAAACCTGATCAACCGCATCCATAGCCCAGATGACATCCAGATGTTCGTATTCAGGAATTACCTTGCTGTGGACCAGGTTGACGTGAGGTTCGCGGCCCTTCTCAAATCGCCGGAGTAGCTTCCTCCCGTCAACAAGATCGTCATTACCACAAACCCACATAGCCATAGGTGGTGCTTGTTTGTTGTACCATGCTGTAGAGCCCTTGGGATGTTTTCGATGGGCTTCGAGCGCCGATGAGGTCCTTGGTGTCATCGGTCGTCCATCTCCTTTGGAGTCCATGTGCTCCTCAGCTCTTACAATCTCTTTCGTCGACAAGATGCATTTGTGCTTGGCAAAGCACTCTCGGCCAAGCCACCATCGCATAGACTCGGCGCTGACGTACACAGGCGCAAACTGGAACATGCGACTGCGAAGGCCGCGATCCCAACGGGCGTCAGTCCAGTCAAACAGAAATGAGAAGACTTTATAACCAAGCCAGCCATATAGACGCGGATCCAAGAGTTTGTGCATCTGCATCATGAAAGGAATGAAGGCATGGATGCCAAACATGAGACGAAATAGACCTGGCGAAATTATTCGCATGAACTTGAAGTACATTTTACCGATTAAAGGCCCAGCATACGCGGCTGGGGCGAGAGCACAGAAGACGGTCAGCTTCTCGCCCAACTCGGGTCGCTGTTCTTTGGCCAAGGCGACAAAGGTTTGGGTTGTGCCTTGGGAGTGGCAGATAAGTCCAATCTTTTCGAAACCCGTCTCTGTGATGACTCGCGACGTCAATGCAGGAAGGTCGAAAACACCCATCTGTCTGATATTCCAGCACCACATCCTCGGGTCATTGTATTCGAGCAGTGCATGCTTGGGCTCGAATCCACAACGGTTGTTGCCAAGCCACACGTCATAGCCAGACTTGCAAAGCCAGAAAGCGAGAGAATCGTCATCGTTACAGCAATAAGCACCTGAACTTTGTAGGAGGCCATGCATGAGCAGCACAGGAAACTTTGGCTTCTGTGATGGGTCTTTGAGCTTCTTTCTCTGGCGTTGAAAGACTTCCGGGCCTTGGTCAGATCTCAAGCTCTCGTCCAGTTCGGTATACTCCTTTGGGTCGTAAACATGCCACAAGTCGATTATGAATCCATCTTCGGTCTGAACCTCGAATGTCTCAACGTCAAGGCCAACTCTGCGCGCATAATATGCGACGTCACAGATGATTGGGTCTGGTCCGCCTTCTGTTGGTGGGAATTCCTCCGCATTTTCCATCCTGTCTAATGTCCGTCCATTTGGTGATTTTTGCTTCCAAGCCTTTTCTTGCTCGCGTCTTGCTTGAGCCCTGCGTTTCTCCTCTTGATAGAATGGCCTATCAGAATCAGGATCGCGAAAGGTCAGCCGGTGCCAGATGTTCTTCCATATCATGGGTATCGTTGTAAACAAGGAGCCCAAGACGATAACGCCGAGAAATGCCAGGCTGAGAAAGAAAGCGCTGATTCGAAAGAACATGCATTGGAGATTGCGCAACATATTGGGAGGTCCATATAGCGGCAGTGGAGGGAAGAGAGGGTTGGTATGAGAAGGGGGTGTTTGTTTTCGCAACGTGCTGTTGCTGTTGGACTTTTGTAGAGATGCGCCATTCTGTTCTGAAGGTAACTGGACAGCCTTTTTTTGTTCTGGGTTTGCGTTCTCGACATTGGAAAATTTCTCCTTGGTTTCGTTTCCTGCTTTGATTTCGACACTCTCTGGTTCGCCTTGAAGCTCTTCCCTAAGAACATTGAGCTTATGCGCCTCCTGCAATGGTACACCTGGGAGTCGTTTTCCATCTGAAGTGACAATAACAGGATCATGAGGTGTGACAAATTGTGCTTCGATAGCAACTCCGGGGTCTTCGCCCGTTGGATGTTGGTGTGAGAGCTTCTCAGCTTGTTGTGTGAATTGGACGGCTGTCTCGGCTAGTTTCTTGCCGACAACTTTAGGATGACGCTCTTGCTTCGCAGTTGACGAGCCATGCTCTTGTTGTGTCATAGTCGATTCTGGTGGCCAACTCGGCCAGTAAAGAATGTGTAGGTACTAGATGAAAATATGGGCTGTGAAGAACAAGTAGTCGAGTGATTGAGTGACTGCCGGCCTTGAGATGCGCTGTGGAAGAGAGATCTACTGTTTAAGGAACAATTCGCATGTCTGACAGGGGATTATAAAGGATTACGGAGTTATAAATCCAGGACGGAGATCGCTAATGCGAGAACGGGTCAAGGATCAATAAAAGAGGGTGGGATCATAAGGAGAATAGATCAGATGGTGTACGTCCAATATTCCACTTAACGGGCAGACCGATTGTTGACTTCAGTCTCGGTTGATGTGCGGTGTATAAGAGACTGGCGTGATTAGAGAAGTTTAACTGTCTAGACCGAATATTTCCTTGTGTGATGGTTAAAAAGGAAAAAGCCGTTTCAAATTCATCAAACAGGCTGGCAATGTTTAATCTTGAGAAGTGACAGGGCAATCAACTGTGAATGGTCGCTCTCAGATAGAGTTGCGTCATGGGCGTCAATAGTAGCAGAGTTTTGGCCAGACAGCCGGATTTGTGGCGGGAACTGCGACTTTAATGAGCGATGATCCTTGCTGAAAAGCATGTGAAGGCTGTCAAAAGGGGTCTAAGAGATCATTTAATTTGCGTTCTCAGCTGTGTGTTTTGGATAATCATGCTGCAATAGAAATGATATGCACTGCCAACGGCCAAGAATTGGTGATGTGTATGACATTCTGGATTTGAATACTGTTTGCTTATACAATTGGGGAAAGGATAAGAGCGAATTCGCGTCGTAAACGGTTGGACATCCATGATGTATGATTTCGCTTTCGTCCATAAGATGCTGATATGGACGATACTTGGATAAAAGTTGAACTGGGCAAATAGAAACAAGTATCCTGCTTGTGTCATTCCTCATGCAAGATAAGCTATTTTCAGCTCCTGTTGATCTTGTGCTTCGTTTCTCCAATTGAAGTCTTGCAGGGTCTCGCCACG